TTCGCCAATCGCCAACCCTCTGCTTTTGATTTGAAGGCTGTTTTTGGTCCTTTTTCAACTCTGTCCTCTTCTGTTCTGTCTGCTGGCTGCCCTTTTTGTACAATTGAATTGATCTAGATTCTCTTATATCATTTAACCATTTTCAGCAGCCTCGATCGGCGGTACCGCCCTTTTATAAAACATGGCGTTCCATGCGGCAACTTGTGTTGAGTCGCCGCCAGCGGACGGATGTTAACTTGCAACTTGTGCCCCGTGGGTTGCACCCGAGTGAAGGAAGCCGATCGAGACCACGCGACGGCCCCGCCAATCTCATGAATTACGTTACGCCACGGGCTATCACTTCAGTCAGTGGTCCAAACGTCGGGTTGGCTGCACTTGACGGGTGGGGTGAATGAACTCTGGTCGATCCAAATCCCCCTTCTCCTGACCCACCGGGTTGAAAATTAGCTGAAGCACGTTGTTTTGACTGGTTGAGAGGTTGGCATTCGGGAAAGGTTCCGAAATTGGGAAGATCGCCCTTTTGGAGTTGCTTGTGATATTTAATCACTTTACCTATATATGTTGCGCATCAGTTATCTCGAATTGAGTTTTAGAGCTCCATTCGTTGAGATAAGAGGCACTTGGCCCCTCCTAGGCCCGCCTGCGTTGATCCGCGGGCTTAAAAACCCATGCCATGCCCTTTGCCTTTGAAGGCAGGCATAATTGCGCCACCGGTTTGTCAAGTTGGAAGATGCTCCATTCCAATTACAGCAGCCTTTCTCTCTTCTGAATCTGAACCTGAACTATGGTCATCGACATCTAAAAAACTGGCGGGTCAAAAGCATCTCGAGATCAAGTTCAACCCGATGCTTTGGCTTTTGTCGTAGTCGATCCTGGTTTTGACACGAGAAGCATGCTGACTTTGGGGAAAAGTGTCGGAAAAGTCCAAAACCTTTTGCATTTTTGCCAATTTAGTCCTAAACTTTTTTTTGGTGCCAATTCAATAATAAACGTTTTGTCTTTGTGCCAATTCAGTTCTTCTAGCTAATTTTGGCCGGATTTTGCTGATTTGGACGTCGGCCGACCTACGCGGCACATCCGGCGATGACGTGAACAACTTTTAATAATATTTTAATTTTTTTCGAATTTTCTTTTCTTTTCTTTCTTTTTTTTTTTCTTTCCGTTTCTTCTTCCTCCAGCCAGTCGCCAGCCAATGGCGAGGCTCGCCCCGCCGGCCACTGGCAAGGGCGGCGAGGCTTGACCCTCACGGGATGGCCGCGAGGGTGGCCTCACGCTGGGCTGAACGAGGCTCGCCCTCGCCGGCCATGGGGGAGGCTCGACCTCGCCAGATCCAGCAAGGTCGTGCCTCGCGCAGAGCAGCTCGAAGCCGCCCTCATAGCCATCTAGCAAGGGTGAGGCTTGCCCTCTCCGGATCTGGCGAGGGTCAAGCCTCGTCGGCCATGGGTGAGGCCCGAGCTCGCCAGATCAGGCGAGGTCGTGCCTCGCCCAGCCGCTGGCGAGGCTCGCCTTCACCGTCGCTGGTGAGGGCAAGCCTCGCCATTGGCCGGCGACCGGCTGGAGGAAGAAGAAAGGGAAAGAAAAAAATGATTTTTTTTAAAATAAAAAAATTCAAAAAATATTAAAATATTATTAAAAAGTTGTCCACGTCATCGCCGGCGGTGCCACGTAAGCCTACTGGCATCCACGTCAGCAAAATCCGGCCAAAATTAGTCGGAAGGACTGAATTTGCACAAAAATAAAAGGTTTAGGACTGAAATGGCACTAAAAAAAGGTTTAGGACTAAATTGGCACCAATGCAAAAGGTTTATGACTTTTCTGACACTTTTCCCCTGACTTTGCAGTCTAGAAGTTCTACCCCCCCAAACATGTAAAATGTCACATTCCCCGTGAGCAATACAAGTTATTGGACCGCAATCTAAGTCACTCTGCACTGCCTTTGGCTGAAAGGAAAATTTGACATTGACAAAAGTATTTCCATGGAGAGATGGGAGAACGAGGATTAAGCAGAACTTTTCCCAATTGTCTTGTAGAACCGAAAGTCCTTTCGAGAACTCGGCTTTGCTGCATTGTGCGGGGACCGATTTGAATCCTCCGACGAGTCTGCAGCGTGTACCGTGAAAATTTAAAGGTTCTATCACCCAAATCTAAGGAGAGAACTGAGAAGGCAAACACAGACTGCAAAGAGGAGCATGCAATACTACGCATGAGATAAAACACTCAAGTCAGTAGATGCTCAGACAACCACCAAGTCCAAGTATGGACCGGCTATTTGATCTGAGAATAAATTATCCATGCAAACCATATTCAGAAAATGATATTTTCACCAAGCACGAAAAACTTGAAACAACAAAGAGAAGCAAGCAGGGTTTTAATCCTTAGTCAAGAATTGCTTTCATTCGTCAAACCTGCTCGCTTCTCTTCAGCTTTCGGCAAGGCGTAACACGAGGCGGAAAAGTCGCGGGATGGCCAGTAGGACTAGGAGTCCATTTAATTCACTTTGACAAGGAAGTTCTTATGTTCTTTAACTCGGTGAACATTCCGCACATAATAAAGCCCCGAGGGCTACACGAGGATCAAAAAGCCGATTGATAGGCAAGGGCCATTTTTATTTGGGCCTTGGCGACCCAATCAGCAATCTTGTCGGCCTCCCTATTGAAATGGGCCAATTCTAAACGAGAAAAAACGAGCTATCTTCTGCTGGGCTTCACTGAAAAGCGCAGTGGCATACCATCTGCAGCAGTTAAAGGGAAGCCCATATCAGATCTAATTGATATGTTTCCAGTTGGAGAAGTTCATCTGATCGTGGAGAGAGGAATTCTATGGTTTAGCACAAGTGCTTCGGCTTGAGTTGCTGATTTCACCTTCACTGTTCTTGCAAATCCGCCCACCATTCTCCCGCAATGATCACGGCATACGCAGGCTATTGCTCCGTCTGTGGATCTCTCGAGGAAAGAACCATCGCCTTTCACCTTTAAGACTCCCTGTCGCGTGCCGCACACGAAATCTTCTAAACGTTGATATCATATAATGCAGAAGTTACGTGCAAAAATATCAACATATCACGAGGCAAATTACATATTGGCCCCCAAGTTTTGACGATCGTTGCAAATTGTCCCCTCAACGTTTGAACTTTTCCAATTTGCCCCCTAAATTTTAGATATCGGATGCATTGCATCCTCCTCCGGCATCGACTCCGACCAAGTTTTGCTGAGAGCTCTGACCACGTGACAGCATATGACTGATTATGGAAGATAGATTTGTCATATATGATATACATATAAAAGTAGAAGAAGAATTTGAATATCTATTACACGTGGGAGCATGTGATTAGAGTTTCGAAGAGAATTTGACTGGAGTAAACGCCAACTGCACATCGATATATATAGTTCTGAATGAGCAGTCCCTATGTATTTTCTCACGTATCTATCTGCCATATGACTAGTTTACCTCCCATAACTAGTCACGTGCAATCAAGCGATCAGATATATGAGAAAATTTTGGTTGGACCCAACATTAGGAGGCACATTGCCATCAATTTCGAAAGGTCAAGGGGCATATGTTTAAAATTGAGACGTCATGGGTAGACTTTGCCACAGTCCCAAAAACTCGGTGGGCAAAACGCAATTCTCCCGCATTTGATGACAAATTCTTAGAGACGATGTGAAATATACCAGCGGATGGCTTGATGAGATACGACCGATTTAATGCACACGGCATAGCCTCTGCATCATCAATGCACGCACCCCACAACTTCCTCAAAGTGCCGGTACATCTACATCCCACGTTATCTGAGAACGAAATAGCAGTTGCCAGAGAGAACACAGCAACACTAACGAGCGGTGAATCCAAGTCAAGAAACTACGGATATCAAAAGGAATCACATAATTTCAGATGGAATTCATCTTAGCTTCAAAACGACTTCAGAAACCGAGTGAACATCTTCTCAATTTGCTCATTCTGGCCGAGTATTCGTATTTCAGTTGGTAAAATCACGACAGATCAAAAGTTGAGCGACTCAATAGAAAGCGAGTGTGATATCGAGTCGCTATCCCCACAATTTACAGAGGCTTCCCTCTCAGCATTCATTTTCCCTACCAACGATGGAGTTGGCATACAGGGCCGAGGAAGCAAAGAGAACAATCCAGTAAAAACTTACTACGCCAAATCCAGATACGCTGATTTATTGGGCAGAGCTATCCATATGCATTATTACACGGGAGCATAAATGGCTCAAATCCGTTCATCTGGATCCTACTCTCAAGTATTAATACCGGGGCATTGCATTTCGTACGACCCTTACCATAATAGAACCCTGCATGTGTATAAAAGCCTGCATAAACGTGAAGTAAGTCCAGAAACACTTGCATGCCCCAAATGTAATGAACCCAGCTGTATATCCAACCTTAGATTGGGTGATGGGGCCCGCGTGGATCCCAACTCATGAAGCGGTGCATGTTAGCCAGTGCAGGTGAGTTGGGCTCACATGCACTCGGAGCAGACAAGATCTTTTCAAGTAAGTCACCCTTTCCCTTCTTGATGAAAAAGAAAGTAAGCAAGCTAGTATCCGTGTACTGGTCACATATTTCCCTCAAGGTAGAACAAGGATTGTATGATCTAGATCAAGTTCTTACTCAGATTGAAGCAAAATGTTTTGAATCCTAACATTTCACTAAGTAACCAAACCATCGGAAGATCCATTTCGACACCATAGGACAGCTAATGCAAAATACAGTCTATCGATCGAAAAGCCTGAGGGATGCATCAACCTTCATTTGTCCACAATTTCTCTGACATTATGTCGACATAAAGCTACAGGTACCTCCTCTATTGACCTAATGTTAAAATTGAACCATCACTTCAACAAGGCAAGTTGAAGAATGACCTATGGACAGAACTTTGGATCCGCATTCACCAAGATAAGTAAATCCCCTTGAAGCTAATCCAGAGGTTGACCATCATGTCTTGATGCAACAATCTATCTATGACAGCAAACAAGAAAAGACTGGAAAAGGCTAATATCATTAGCTGGAAAAGAGAGTATCATTTAGAACAGATCAAAAGAAGGCTAGAAGACAATATTGTCAGTCCCATCACTGCGGAAAGGAATGAATCTATGCAAATTATTCCAGGACACAATACTTCAAAACAAAACAACCAGGTTTAGGAGATTCGTCCCGTCAAACGACAAACACATACTCCACTTCCAAATAGAAATTGCAGAATCATTCCTTTTTCCCAATCCCATGGGACATGTTATAGATCCCACGACCCTGAACAAAACAAAGATTATGAATTTCAGTACCCCATACACGCAAGGAGCAGAAACACTGACATAGTGAATGAAGGCCAGTGAGAATGAACTTTGGAAAAGAGACTTACGATCAAATACAACGAAGCACCTGCCAGAGCAAGTGGAATTGTCACAGAGGTAATCTTATCAAAAGGTCCCTTCAGATAAGTATGTCTGTGAATGTTCTGAAAATATTTCTGCTTCTCAAGGAGCTTCTCCCGGGGTCTAAAAGGCACCTCTGTCATTCTGCTTCATATTTATATATAAATATATCAAGACCTTAAATTATAGCCCAACAACATAAGAAGGGCGAAAAAAAAAAAAAAAGCACGCTAAGGTCATGCCAAATGCAAAAGCTCTACAACCATGCAACCTCCACCTAAGGAGGGGAGATTAGAAGGGTTGACAAAACTGACGACATTGTTTCACGCTTCTATGACAGCAAGAAGGGAAAGGAGCCCGAATGAGTGTATAAAGACATTGGAGACAACGTTGTGGGGAAAAATCATTTCCATGTAAAAGTCAGCAAGATAGGACCTGCAACCTCCATCTATGGACTAAAAGTTGCAAAATGATCCGATCATTACAGAAGTCAGATTTTGACCATGCATTTACACATCTAACTTGACAGCCGTAGAACATAAACACGGGTACGTGTAGACCAGGCATAAAGCAGCTCCCATTTCCATAGCATCATATAACAAAATATCAACTAAAGGAAGAGACATCCATAGAGGAATGACCACACAACAAAAAATCAAAGCTTTTCACTCTAAGATTCGAATTCTCATCTAACATTAACATTAGCGGTCTTGTCATCTCAAAGTAACAGTTTAATCCACAACCCCTAGTACAACTTGCAGAAAACCACCTCTATACATGGGATTGAGTGACAGTACGCAAGCGAACATCCGCGTGCGTGCAAGAACCCAGAAGCATACCTTCCCAAGACCCCTTAATTTCCCTCCTTCTTCACTGTTAACCGAATTTACGAAATTAGCTTCGACATAATCAAAAGAACTATTTCATCGAGCTCATAGCATCCCATGTGACTATTGCAGCAGCACGCATCTACATGATAAAACTTCCCGCCCGAGCTCATATCATCCCAAATCCATCGAAAATTTCCCACGCAACTCTCTTCTACACATTGAATTAGAACCTCGATCGATCACCGCAAACCCTAAGCAGAAAGGAAACGAAACGCGGCCCCGGCAAGAAAACCGCAGCGGGGGAACAAATCCACCTTAATTCCACCTTATTCAAGCACCCATGTGACAGAACGGCACGCACGAACAACGCAAAGATCCAAATCCAATCAGCCAAAGAGACCCACAAAAGAAAAACTACCGAGACTACCACATCTGACACCGAGAAACCAACGTTGGCAAGACAGCGACAGCGACAACGACCGAATTACCAGGCCAACGCAGGATCTTGACCACCCGACACGATCGAACATATTTTGCCGAAAATCAAGTGAGGATACTCACGTGAAGCTGAGAGGATTCGAGGGTCGAGATGGTCCTGGGGCTTCTTCAGGAAAATGGCAGATGGAGAAGACGATGAACGGAATGAGATGCAGTGGAAGTCAAGCCGTGCGGCATAGGGTAATGGGAGGAGTGCGAAAGGATCCGGACCCGATTGGGCCCTCTCGGGTCGGGCTTAGGTCCAGATGGTGAACAACGAATTTAAAAGGGAAAATGACATACAGAATCCTTGAACTTTGGTCCAATGTGCAATTTGATCCATGAATTTTTAATTTATTCAATATAATCCTTGAGCTTTAGCCTAATGTTCAATGTGATCCCTGAACTTTTAATTTGATCCCTAGACTTTTGGTACATGCTCAATTTTAATTGCACATTGGGCCAAAGTTCAAGAACTGTTTGTGTCATTTTCCCAAAAAAAAAAAAATCGAATCCGTTGCTAGAAACGATACTGCAAATTTGTACGTTTCATTGCTAATTATACTATAGAATATCTCGAAAATGTTTCTTGTGAATATGTTTCTCGACGTAATATCATTTCTATGAACCCTCGATTCGCTTTTTGATGATGTGCCAAATCACGTGATAGTAACTTATCGGATCACTTGGGAATTGGTTTTTTTTTATTGATATTTAGCCTCGTGGTAAATAGGTTAATTATTTTTCATGAGATCACGAGTTCAATTCACGTCGTGAACAAAACTCTAAATGACCCAAGTTGCGTTGCCTAACTGCAGCATATCTCGTGTGGAAAGATTTCCTAAATACTAGTATTGCAATCCAGAGATTTTCGAGGCACAATAGATCGAGGAAGTGACCCAAATGATCCGGTGATCCTTAGAGTTTCTAATGGCTTGGGGTTTCTTGAGTACTCTAGAATATTGTCGAGAGAAATATGGAAAGTGTACACTATTCTAAAGTATTTGTTGACACCTAATTTTTGGCTCATCATTTAGAAATAATTACACAAAAATTAGGGACTAAACTTGAGCCCCCGACAAAAATTTTAAAGTTAAATTGCATAACATTTAGTTTTAAGAACATTTATTAAGTAGCTCCATTTGCATCGAACCGGTGACGGATAGTTCTGAACTTAATTGAGCCCACGTGGATCGGGAAACTCGACCAAGCCCATTCATTATTATGGCCGAATTTTTTTTGCACGCGGGGGAATTTTCAAATATATATACACAGAAGTTCACGATCTTGGCAAGGGCAAAATATAAAACGTGCGGATCTTTATCTTTGGAATGAGCAAAACAGGAAATTGCGATAGGCGTGATACGAAGGAACGATGTTTAAGAAAGCCTATATTTCTAATTCGGTGCACTTGGTCAATAATAGAATAACAAAGTACCCACAATTCATTCTTGACCGAGATGGGCGTTTAGGCACGTGTCCGAAAACATCCTCCTTGATCTGCTGGAGATATCCATAATTCCTTGGGCAGTACTTTTCGGTCGTTTGAGGAAATAAATAAAAGCGAGTGAGATTTGCAAAGCAGTAAAAGGAAGAAAGATCGGCAAGTTCTGTCTCTTTCATTATCTTTATACCTGAAAAAAACATACAAGAAGAGGAAAGTGGGAATCGGTCATCGGGAAGGGATATATTTGAGACTATCTTCAGGCCAAAGCATAATATATTTTGAATATTCTCAAGACGGTCTCTTTCTCTAAAACGCTTAAGCCCTCTCACCTATAAAAGTTGTGTCGTGGCATTAGTCGTTGTTCTGCGCTGAGTTGCTGATCCAACGACGTCTTGCCGTTACTGCACTGAGCAGACGACCGCTCCAGTTTGTTCCTACAATTTCAGCACCAAACTAGCGAACCAAGGTGAATTCTAGCAGGTTCTCAGCGAGTCTGGGCCCGTTTGGTTCAACTTCGGAAATGCTACTTGGGGGAATGCAAATACCTTTAGGTTAAAGTCCCTTGGGGAAATGCAAGTGGCGTTTGATAAAGGTCATTTATAAAGCTACTTTGACCCAAGTAGTGTTTGGTAAATTTTTTTTTGCAAAAGAGCTTTGGGAATTATCTTTTTTATTAAAACAAAAAACATATCCTACCCTTCGCCGGAGCCGGCGAAAGCCTACGGCCAAAGGCGAGCTAGATCTGGCGCCGGCGGCCGTCGCCTGAGGTCGGGCGACCACCGGCGAGCTAGATTTGCTGCCAGCGGTCGTCGCCCAAGGCTAGGGACGGCGAGGGTCGCGCGACCTCGCCGGCACAATCCGGTGTCGGCCACCCTCGCCGGCCTCCCTCGTCGGCCACCTCATGAAGACGATGAACAGTACCAAGAGGGGCAAACTCGGAATAAATCAAAATAAGTGAGGGTAGTTTTGGGACAAAAAATTTGGGTTCAACATTCCAAATTCTAGCATTTGGCCAATGCTAGGCCGAATGCTGAATCAAACGGTTCAGCATTTTGGGAAGGGGCTTCCGAGATCGAAAGCCCATTCCCAAAGCTGAACCAAACGAGGCCTGAAGCTCCTCGGCGTCCTCTCAGTCCCTAATCGCTAGTTCCCACGGTGATAGAAGACAACCCGAGGTTGTCCCGAGGCTCTCGGCAAGGCAAAGATCGTGACTTGTTTTGGCTTTTGGTCAAAGCGGCGGAACTCGTCTCCTATTGCATGGTGAATTGCCTGTGAAGTCTTGAGAAAGAAGCAAAAAGTCGTGATTCTTGGTGGAGATTATTTGGTCAAACTAAAAGACCAATATAATTAATTTACTAGTATCTCCTTTGGCGAGCCGCCACAGTTGTTGTCCAATTAACTGAGTATCACCTCACCGGACACACGAGCTATTCCTTTGAAGTTCAAATTTGGAAAGTTATTTGCGCAATTAGGTAAATATCTTATTTGAGTCAATTTGGATATTTTATTGCTTATTGTGTGCTTATCGTTATTTAACTTTGCATATGCACAATTTCAATTAGGATTTATCTCCTAATTCGCAACGCGATATGATCTTTTAATTTTGTTTATAAGCCTTTGGATGGAATTATTAGTTTGCGCGGTTAGAAAATTTATCTTGATCTTTAAGCCTTAAGATTAGGATATTGATTCTATTTTTGCGGAAATATCAGGTTGATGGGATAACGTTTCTAATTGTTGTTATCTTTGGTGGGTGATGTTTTGTTTATCTTTGATTGCTTACTTTATTGGTAGAAAATGCAAAAAAAAATTACATGTTATATATTTTAGTTTTAAAATAAAAGAAAGCCCCTAAAAATACCTTATTGACTTGGTGTGTTGATTTGATTGCTTTGTTGATTGATTGTTCTTTTAATGATTGCGCACCCGTATGATCACTCCCTACATGTTAGTAATCTAACTTAAAATTAATCCAAGCTACCTGCATAAATGTACCGAAAGGGCATTAGAGTAATCTAGTGTAATTAAGTCCCCGAATTCATTTAATCTCTGGTCCGTAGAAGTAGAGTAATTCGCCCACACTTTACTTGGGCTTCTAATCGACCCACCAAAAATAGATTAGTGACGACTCTTAGATAAAAATCATTTGAATGTTAAGAACTTGAACTAAAAGTTGTGAATTGATATGGACTTGGGAGAGCCCGAGCTAGATTTAAGCTTAGGAATCCATTAGTCGAATCCCTAGGTGGTGCACTCAAGGGAAGGTCGCAACAGTATTCTTGTAATTAATACGGGTAGTTGGTAAATGGGGAAATTGAATCTTTACCGGTAGATCAAGAAGAAATATATAGTTGTAATCATGGGTGCTTGTGTTATTAGGATTCCCTCCACTCGTTTATATCATCTCAGAAGTAATAGAAATTCAAAACTTCTCTCTACGAGTTTCGCTCACCTCGTTTCCCACCTTGAAACTACCCATCACCAATTTTGATTTTATGGAACCGAGAACCGGACCGGTGCTCTTGAAAATCGCCCAGAATCGGCCGGTCCGATCTAATCTAGGCGGTTCTCGATTTGAGTGGTTCCCGTTGCATAGCCCTTGACGCATGACATTTGGTTTATAAAAAAGGCCCTATGCATGACAACCTTAGAAGCTTTCTAAGTTATCATATTTATGCAAGAAGAAAACTACAAGAAAGCAAGCCTACAAATCTAATCACCGAAAGAAGGAAATGTGTGGTAGATTGATGACATTACTGATGATGAACTGAAATCTTAGGATCGTGACTTATTAGTTCACTTGGGATTTGAGATTGAGGAGCCATCGCAAATTAATTTTTTTTACCCAATGAATCTTACTTGCATTTGATTTTAATTTTAAGGGAATGTTTGTTTGAATGAAAGTATTTTTCAAGAATAAGTTTTTTAGATTTCACAAGCTGGTTTGCTAAAAATGATTAGTCAACAGGAAATCATTTATGGTCAAAGAAAATATGCACACTTAAAGCTAGGAAAATGAATTGCTTAGCCACAAAATGGGAAAATATTTTCCTGAAAAATGATTTCCGAAAAGCATTCTCTTTAATCATGAAGTTTTTTGTGGAATAAACGGAACCTTAGCAATTTTGTCGTTGAATACTTAATATACACGTCTCTCTTAAGTGTATAGCTATAACCATGTACTATATCTAGCTATACATTGAGAGTATGCATGACATGTTTTTTTTTGGTTGGAGTAATCATGATATGTTGGCTAGTTCATGATTTGCATATAGCTTCATTTTTATTGGTCCGACACATTTCCTTTTATATTAATTTACATATGGGTGCGACCCAAATCACAGTCTTCCAAATTAGGCATCACCTACTTAAATTATTTTCATTCGAACCGAGTTTTTTTATTGAGGCGTGGATTGTTGATTACTTATTAGTCTTTCCGGTCACTTTTTCAACTAAAAATTTTGCAGTCTTCCTCGTGGGGTGTCAATGGGTCGGGTCGGTTCGGGTTTTCATGATACCCTATCCGACCTGAAAATACTGGATATGCATGCTCGGCCCGACCCGAGACAAGACCCGAACATGATATAGCCACATGATCGGGTCGGGTCGAATCAGTCCGGACTTCATGTTTCAAATAAAGAATTCTAGAAAGTCACAACAGTGGTTCGTCCCCAAATCGCCGCCACGCTCTCGAGCTCCCTCCGCGGCCCATTGGCTTCGGATCGATGGGAGGATGTCCCGAAATCACCAAAGCTCCAGACATGTCCCCGAAATCATCGCAGGTGGAAATAAATTCATATATAGTTTACGGATTTAGCTATATGTCCAAATGTAGTCACCCTTTAGTGCTGCTTGAGAGTTTCGCTGAATATTCTCCCATGAGAGTTCTCTTACTAGACGCAAACAACCACTTCCGTTGGGGAAAACGGAAAAACTGCACTTGAAAGAATGACTTACAATTGGAGGACGGAGGCAGAGTTGCTGAGGAGGACAAAGTTGACGAAGGCGGGCAATTTCACGTTCCGGAGGAGGACGAAGTTGAACGACAGTGCTACAAAGTGAAATGTGTTTCAGTTCTATAAATAAAAAATAAAAATACATGTGTTTCGGTTCGGTTCGTGTTTATGAACACGAACTGAACCGAAATCATCGAGATACCCATTTGCTTAGCTAATATCCGAACATGAAGTTGACCCGGCCCGAAAATACCCAAAACTTATGATCGGATCAGGTCGGTTCGTGTTCGTGTTCAGGTAAATTTCGCAGTCTTCCTCGTGATAAAATGCGTTTCACAATCTATATTCTACTAGACCGATTGCTTAATTATATCTCTCAATTTCCTAATATTAAATTACTTCTTTCATAGAGATTTTGCTGTAAGTTTTTCAAATTGCTATAACTATATATGCGTTAGTAACCCGGCCCGATTTGCCCGTCTTCTACTTCTCCCTGGCCGAGAAAGCAAGGCAACCCCCACATCCAACCAGGAGACGGGGACAAAAACGAGGAAGAGGAAGCTGTGTCCGCTCCTCCTCCTCCTTCCGTCGCTGCGGCGCCACCGTGCCTTCACGCCAATGGTGCGGTCTCGTTAGCGCGCGATACCACCGTCTCCTTCGCCGCCGTTGCGTCCGCAGGACCGAAGCTCAGGATGCGACCCAAGGACAGGATTTCGTACTTCTACGACGGTACTCTCTCTCTCTTCCTCTCTCGCTCGATCGCGTGTGTACAGTTCGGTGTAGGACCTTCGTTTTTGTTCCGCTTGGACCGGTGGGGTTTCTGGGTTTCTTCTCCTCCGAGCGCTTGGCCGGTTTCTGGTTGAGGGGCGGGGGGATCCGAGACGCTAGCTTTTCGTTTCTCGGGTTCTCTGCTCGCGTGCGAATGTCCGATGCGCAAGGCGCTTCAGTTTTGGGAGTACGGTGCAGAAAAATGGAAGAGGAGAACAGTTGTATGTGAGCCGCGGAGGAAGAGAAGGGCATCGATCCCAAAACCCAATCTCTGAGCTGAGTCCAGCTGCACTCGGGAGCGAGAGGGTTTTGCTGGAATCCTGGTTCTGGTTTTGTGTGTGAATTGCTTCAGTTTGGTTCGGGAATTGTGAGGTTTTGACTAATGGTGGGAATTTGGCACTGCAGGAGATGTGGGCAGCGTGTACTTTGGTCCGAATCATCCGATGAAGCCGCACCGGCTCTGCATGACTCACCATCTTGTCCTCTCTTACGAGCTTCACAAGAAGATGGAAGTTTATGTCAGTTGCTGAGTTTCCGTTGTTGACTTGCGTCTTTTTCTCTCTTCATCTCCCTCGAAATGTGTTCCTGATTGTTTTCTCGAATGCTCCAGCGGCCGCACAAAGCCTACCCCGTTGAGCTCGCCCAGTTCCATTCTCCTGATTATGTCGAGTTTTTGCACCGGATTACACCCGACACCCAGCACCTGTTCTCAAACGAATTGGCAAAATGTAAGGTTTTCGCACGGGATGTGCTATTCTATTACCCATTTAAGGTTGCAAGCAGTTCTAATTGATCTTCTCTTTAGGGCGTGGAAGTCTGAGAAGTATTCACGCATTTCCATGATTTGCAGAGCTCAATTCTGTCATAAGATAGGGATTCGAGGAGCTTATTTTTGTTGAATTGGGAGATTATCTACTGTAACTTTGGTAATGTGAACTCGGTAGTGTCTAGGACCTACGTGATACCACCCTCTAAGACTGATTAATTTTCTCAGGTCTAGTTTGCTAGTAGTCGATTGGCAGGGTTAGTTTTCTGGAAATTATTCTCTTGCCTGGCAACAGTTATCGGATGAGAACTTGTTTGTTCATTACTTCTTCCAATCCTTTCTTCATTTTAATGATACTTTTTACAAGTCTTTAGACGGAATGGTTATGTATAAATGTATATAGTGCTGCCGTTGCTAATATTTATGTTTCAGTGAGTTTAGCTATTATATACTGACCTGAAGCTGAAATTTTTCTTCTTTCCCATCAGATAATCTTGGAGAAGATTGTCCTGTCTTTGAAAACTTATTCGAGTTTTGTCAGATATATGCCGGTGGCACGATAGGTAAGCTTTATAGTTAGTAGTGTTACCAACTCTGGGGTGGTCTCTTTTATTTTATCTAATTGGCGGCATTGCTTGCAGATGCTGCAAGAAGATTAAATAATCAACTCTGTGATATAGCTATTAACTGGGCCGGAGGATTACATCATGCCAAGAAGTGTGAAGCATCTGGATTCTGCTATATAAATGACCTAGTGTTGGGAATATTGGAGCTGCTGAAATATCATGCACGTGTTTTATATATTGACATAGATGTGCATCATGGTGATGGCGTAGAAGAAGCCTTTTACTTCACTGACAGGTAATTGTTTTTTTGCATAAATGAGCAGAAAGCCCTAAAACTTCTTTGATGTGTTGCTAGGTAATGCTATCATCCATTATCTTTGTCTTTTAATTTACTTCCTGAGGAAAAGCTGCATCAAAATAAATGTATAATACTAAAGAGGGAAACATGAGGTGCAATAAAATTCGCTGCATGCTACCCTCTTTTAACTCTTCTCCTCTTTCCCAACATATATCTTCTTTATTATTGCTGCAACCAAGGGCTACAACCTTTTGCTTTATGGAGGTCTTGGATTTTAATAGGAAAATGAAAGGGGAAATTTTTGTTTCTGTGTTGCGATATTAGCTATCATCCCAACCTATGATACCATTCCCTAGGAACTTGTAAATGGCTGAATATATATGAACCAGAAGCTCAGAATTAGAAGATCATGGATCTTCATTTATGTATTGATTGAAGTAATATAAATTAATTATACTTGAGGACCTACTTTTCTGGAAACCGGTAGTTTGGAATAATTAATTGCAGTTGGTTTCCTTGAACTATTTATTGCCCTTTTGAACTCTAATCAGATAGGCAGTGTTATCATGGCAGGGTAATGACCGTTAGCTTTCACAAATTTGGGGATATGTTCTTTCCAGGAACTGGTGATGTTAAGGTGATTCCGCTACTAGGCATTTTTATGTCCAGATTCTCTTTCTATCTTTTGCATTCACTTGAATATACCCTCTTGGAGCCTTGTGTTATTTACTTAAATCTTTTTGATTTAATAATTTGCCCAGAGCCCTCTGGCTGATTCAGTCTATAGTTTGTGTAGAATGCAAACTTTGTGTGCTGACTGGTGAATTTGTATCTTTTATGAACTCACTAGTAATTTTATATGCACTGACTAAATTTAAGCTTTCACTCGTGATTGTTGAGCTCTTCCTTTCACCATCCTATTTGTTCGGTATGAAGCTAAAGTCAAGTTTATTCATTGAGATCATTTCAATTGAAGGAAATAGGAGGAAAGGAAGGGAAGTTTTATGCTATTAATGTCCCACTCAAGGATGGAATAGACGATACTAGCTTCACTCGACTTTTCAAGGCTGTAAGTTTTGCTTAGGACCTTGTAAACTTTCACTTTGTGTCCTTTTTATTTCCTAACAGCTTGTTTTCTTTTTCCTGGTAAATGTCTCTTAGATCATTGCAAAGGTCGTCGAAACATACCAACCTGGTGCTATTGTACTCCAATGCGGGGCAGATTCACTTGCTGGGGACCGCTTGGGGTGCTTCAATCTCTCTATTGATGGTAGATATCTTGTTGTAGTTTCCTCCATGTCCTCCGACATTGGACTTCTTATTCTTGTTGATTGATTCTTTTTTGGAGCTAATTTTGTTGTGATTGATTTGCTAAAGACAAGTGAGATGGACACTATGTGATTATTGTGTCATTCATGTTTCTACAGGACATTCTGAGTGTGTTAGGTTTGTCAAGAAATTCAATTTGCCCTTGTTGGTATCCTCTCTCTCTGTCTCTCTCTCTCTCTCACACACACACACACACACACACAAAAAAATGCACACACGCACGCTCATGTGTTTCATGAAGCACACAAACACTCAAGATAACCCGCCCAACAATCAAACCCCACCTCCATTACTGACTGAATGTATACTCGTGTATTGTTAACTTTTCATACATGGCACATGAAAATTGTTTACTGTTCAGGTCACTGGTGGTGGAGGATACACAAAAGAGAATGTTGCTCGATGTTGGGCAGTTGAAACAGGAGTTCTCTTAGACACAGAACTTCCAAATGGTATGCCCTAATGTTAATGTCCTGTGGAATATACTATCGCATTACAATTTGTGTTGATTTGACGTAACCTGAGTGTTGGAAAGTGTCATTCCGAGATAGGTGATTGTTATGTTATGCGCATTGTACATTGAATTCATCGAGCTTTTTCATTTTCTTCCACTCTGTCTTCTGTTGTTTGGGGGGTTGGGGATTCAAGGAGGGCCTTGTGTTGCACCAACTTATTTACTATCTAGATATGCCATTTTTATATCAAGCTTCTCATGCCCTAACATATAATACTTATTAAAGGTGCTTTTTTTTTTTTGGCAGAGATTCCTGAAAATGAGTATATCAAGTACTTTGCTCCTGATTATTCGTTGAGGATTCCTCGTGGAAATATAATACTCGTAATTATTTTCTTTGTTCATTTATTTTCTTTTAACCGTGTGTGATTAAAGCTAAAGTTGGTGTGCCAAAAACATATCAAATCTTCATGTTGATAGTATGATTTCTCTTGGTAAATTGAGCAGGAGAATCTAAATAGCAAGTCCTATCTTAGTGCAATCAAAGTGCAAGTGCTCGAAAACCTTCGTAATATCCAACATGCCCCGAGTGTACAAATGCAGGAGGTTCGTATCCCATACTCAGCAACATCAATGATTCTTTTCTTTAATAGAGTGCTGCTTGCTTGAGACCAGATGAACCCTATTGTTTCTGAGCTGCAGCGCGGTCATCAACCAAATTTTCTTGTTACATTCATGGAAATGATCTTTTGATCAAATTGCTCATAGTAAGCAGCCTCAAATAGCTGAGGGATCTTACATTGACATTTGCTGAAAAAGAATCATCAGAGATATTTTAAATCTATAATTCACTCCTGGCTTCTACCTAGTATGATTTTGTTGTTAAAATGATGACTGCTCCAGTTGATAGTGATTACCACACGGCAAAGGTCGCTACTATCATTTCTCTTGTTCCAAGAGTTATTTGTTAATAGGCATTGTTAATAGGTTTTCATGAAGACTGCTGAGTGATTGATTTATAGAGGATTTGATGATTATTTGGCTATTTTGAAAAGGAGTGAGAACTATGTCCTCTAATTTGTCAAAAGCTCTGGATGTCACTGTAATTCTCACTCACCAGCATGATAGAGGCTACGTTGAGGTTGCTTGTGCAGTGAAGGATATGAGCTCCATCTTTTACTTGTGGATGGCAATACAAAGTCAAGCTTGCGAACGATCTTTTGACCTAGACTCCTTGATGAGTCTAATTGCCATCATCTATGTTTGCCAACGATGAAGGAGAGCTATAACGAACCTGAGTCATGGACTAATATCTAAGCTATTGCTTGACTATAGCACATAATTATGTAATTTGTTGGAGTTTCCTACCCGTAAGTCTAATTCAGGTGTTGAAGTCTTGTTAATATTCTCTCTCAAGCTTAGGATGATAATGTGAATATAGCACATATTGATTAAAGGAAGCAACAGTCTACTATCTAGCTACTGACTATATATTTACTTCTTTAACTTTTTCTTGTTCTTTTCTTGGCCCAGGTTCCACCTGATTTCTATATTCCTGATTTTGATGAAGATGAGCAGAATCCCGATGAACGAATGGATCGTAAGTGAATATATCCAAAGGACCCTCTGCTTTCCTATTTGCACGCCTATTCTCTCTCTTTACCATTTCATGTTTTGAGATCATTATATCATGTTCTTTTCCTCCTAATCTCCCCGTAAAATTCTGTCTCCACAGAGCATACCCAGGACAAGCAAGTCCAACGAGATGATGAATATTATGATGGGGATAATGATAATGACCATAACATGGATGATGCATGATCCCAAGCTAAGCAATATGTGATTCTTTTTGAAAGATGTGATGTTTGAATTGTCAATCACATTTTACCATATAGTCAATACTAAAGTAGAAGGTGTGAATAGATTTCGTCCGAATTTTGTGAAGCAGATATTAGTTCCATGTTTTGTGAATTCCGACTCATTATCTGAAAGATAGAGGATTAATACATGTGCTCATTGTTCATCGCAATTTCAACTTCGTTCACCGTGTTAATGCTTCGCCTTCGCGTATGCCATTTTTTTTTATAAAATTTTCCGTGATCCAAAATCGCAGACTAGGTAATCCGTGATTGGTAAATTTCAATGTGTGATTCTTACTTTTCAAATGTATTAACAGTCTGGTATTGGTAACTTTCGCTATTGTGTTAGTAAATTTCTGAAAGTGCTTAGTTTTTTTTGTTTTTTTTTGTCTTAGTGCTTAGTTAATGTGATTGTTTTAGAGGATCCTCCTTATTTCACATCTCCATTGTTCTGTGAGCTTGAGAATTTGAGCTCGGTGAAAGAACCAGCCAGATCATCTGCTAATCATGACATTTTCGTTAGTGTAATTTTCATCGTGATCCCTTTTCCTCTCATAGATTCTAGAGGTTTTCACCGAGAATGAATGAGAAAATTGAAGCAAGAAAATTATAGGAATTAGGGTTTTCTGGGGACAAACCCCACATCCAAGGCACTTGCGAAATGTTTGGTCAACTTTTTATTATCAAGGTCCACAAAAATTTAATGCCATCATGCGAAGACCTGATTCTATTGCAGCTACTATTGTCTTTCACCTAATTACAGATGCGACCAGTCTCTTCAAAGTCTTGTCGACGAATTGAATTTTGCCTTGATGGTCTAGAGATGGTTTGGCTTGTTTCGGTTTGCCGCCGGGCTCCCAAAGAATAGATTGGCAAAAGTTCAATCGTGTTTCGCAATCGTTCGAGGGGAACTCGGAGCATGTTTTTAGCAAATTTGAAAGGGCGAAACAAGAACAGGTCCTCTCGCGGTAAGAAATGGAACTTGCGGTCAAGTTTTGAACGCGAAATTAGAAGTGGCTGGCATTATAAGAAAAAGATAAGGGACTTGAATTTCTCTTTAGAAAAGTTGCTTTGAGCTTGTCTAGGCTGTTTAAGCATTTCTAAGTACTTGAAAATTCTCACGTGGGGAGCATTAGTCAATTTTTTTTTATCGTGATAACGTTTATTCAATTGAATTGTGATAATTCAATTTATTGCTTCTGATACTGCTCGATTCTTTTTCAACTTGTCGTAGTCTGCCGGTTGTAGAAAGGTTATTCTTCGTTTTCCATCCATGTCGATGTCGAAGAACACGTGTTGCGCTTTGAGTGGAGCTGACTAGGTCCATGCTCGCCACGTGGGCTGCCGAGGCGGTGGCTATGAAGCCACCCGAATATATTCATGATTGAGAGGGATTTTGAAATGGCCAAGCTGAGCCAAAATAAATTTTGATGGGCCAAAGTGAGATAACCCCGAATTTACAAGGGCCGAAAAGCAAATCTCCCCAAATTTCTGTGGCGTGAACGAGGAAACGAAGGTCGACAAGTCGAGACCCGAAAGATGTACGATGATGATTCGGGCCGACGTAGTCGCGGTTCGGTTCGACCGACCGTGTCGTTCCGACAGGAGCGCGAGAGAATCGAACGCTCGGTGAGAAAATCCAATCTCCCGGTGCTCCTCTCCTCCCAAAACCAAAACTTTCCCGAGAAAATCGCTCCGGTTGCTGTCATCTCGAGCAAACTCGAACGGGAACAGGTACAGTTGCTTGCTTTCAGGAGTTCCTGTGCTTCATTTGCGATGCTTGGCCGTTTTCTCGTTCATCTGGTAGTCAACTCTGGGCTATGCGTGGAGCGTGAATTGAATGCGTGACGGATGGGATAGCGGTCGATTTGACCTCGCCTTTTTGGTTGCGCTGAACCACGAGGAAACGAAGCCGAGCACCCGGTGGTCGATTAGTTGGACCGGCGACGTATCTTTTGACGTAGGAAAAGTATCTGGTTCAATTTGTTTGAACCGCTTCGTTGTAGTTTAGTTAGATTCGAGTTCGTATCTCAGTATTGGAGCTGAAAAGTTTTGACCTTTTGGCATTTTCATGCTCAGTTTTTCCTTCAGTGAGCCTACTGGTTGTGTTGTCTGGAGTTGCATTGCTTATTGGCACATGTTATGCGTTGATTGGTAGCAGAACTAGTTTCGTTTCGTTGGTGAAGATGATGAAGCGACACTGACATCTGGGGTATTGAAATTGTGGTCTTTCTCATTTCTTCTCATTGTACATTTTTCTTCTTTTCAACTTTCTGAGCCAATATCAATATCAATAGCTCTTCTTTTTGTGATTACTTAAATGGGAAACCTGGTTTATATAAACATATAGGTCTAGTTATCGAGTGCCCCCGGGATATTTGTTAAGCTTGCATAATAGGGTATATTTCGATTTCCCGAGCGTGTATTATACATAACTCGAGAAAACAGTGTATTGGGAAATTGCAAACTTTCTTTATATGGTCTGTTAACAAGTGCCATATATGCGCGAGCTGTGCACTCTCGTGCTCGTGCGTCTGTGTACACAACTATATACATCTTGTGATGATTCATGGATATGTCAACAGGCACCTGACAACCCAACTTAGGCATTACAGAAGACTTGCTTTACATCATGGCAATGGCCTTTCCGGAAGCATGTCTACATACTTTATCCGGTGTTCCACACAGCCTTCATTACCGCATCTCCTTTTTGAACTATGTCAGCCCGGAGTCGTCTTTTTCACGTGATGCAAAATATTATAAGAGAAGAGACCCAAAGCAGATGCATTGGCCCGAGACTTCAACAATGTTAAAGTATCGACCTAGGCTACATTCAATTCTCAGTGTTGGTTGTACTCCCTGGGGATATTCCAAACTTACCAGGTCTCATTCTTTGATTTGCAAATGCCAACGGACAGAAAGTGATAGTGGATTGTCAGCTGAATCTGGAACAAAACCTGAGATTTCTCTTTATGGCGTGAATGGACAACCGACAGTTGAAGAATCCGAGGCAGTACAAAAATTAAATAATGGAAAAGAAGATTTAGCATCAAATAGAATGCATGTGCAATCAGAAGCAACTAGAGAGAAGGTGCGAAAGACTAGCTCAAAATCAATTGAGGATGAAGCCTGGGATTTATTGCAGGATTCCATTGCTTATTACTGCAACAATCCCATTGGTACTATTTCTGCAAACGACCCAAGCTGTCAAAGTATCCTCAACTATGATCAAGTTTTCATTCGTGATTTTGTCCCTTCTGGGATAGCTTTCCTTTTGAAGGGAGAGTTCGATATTGTAAGGAATTTCATCCTTCACACTCTTCAGTTGCAGGTACTAAATTCGCTTTTGTTAATTTCAAAGTGGTAGCAGCTCTTGCATTTACTGTTACCAGCAAGTTTTGCTAATTAAGTAGAGATCAAATGGTCTGTCTTCATCTTTTACCTGATTTACATGTAATTTTGAACTTTATGATGTGATTACTGCTCAAACTTACAGATTTGATGGAGTCGAATGATTCAATTAGATTGATAAGATTCCTTGGCAATTAGAAAGGTTGCAGGCTTTCCTCTTCATCATTACCCTGGTACTTGGAACTAAAATGCTACACCTTACTATGTCATCTCATGAACAGAGCTGGGAGAAAACCATGGATAGTTATAGCCCCGGCCAAGGTTTGATGCCTGCCAGCTTTAAGGTTCGTACTGTTCCACTTGACGGTGATGATTCTGCAACTGAAGAGATATTAGATCCAGACTTTGGTGAAGCAGCAATTGGCCGTGTGGCACCTGTTGATTCAGGGCTCTGGTGGATTATAATGTTACGGGCATATGGAAAGTGCTCTGGAGATGTTTCAGTTCAAGAGAGAGTGGATGTGCAAACTGGGATCAAAATGATCTTGAAATTATGTCTGGCTGATGGTTTTGATATGTTCCCGACATTGCTGGTCACTGATGGTTCTTGCATGATTGATCGTCGCATGGGAATTCATGGCCATCCTCTTGAGATTCAGGTACATTTTCTTCAAGCTGTTACAATATTGTTCTTAATCATGTTCTGTGTCACTTCATACTCATGATAGTTCAGCTTTTGAACTGCTCATCCTGCAAAAAGGACTCTCTTTATCAGGATAGTTTTTCAAGGGGGAAAAACACATTGGGTCTCAGTTATAGGCATTTTGGTATCGACATGGGGCTGTGCAAATAATAAAACAGAAAGGATAATTGAACATAAGACTATGGTTTGATGCAATCACAGGACCATTTGCTTTTGGCAGAAGTATTCTTGTGGAGTTACTTGTGGTAATGTGTGGCGCATCACTTGTCCACTTAAAGGTCTTATCTGAACTTTTTTAGCATATATCTTCGGGATTATCGATTGATATACTCCCTTCACTGATGTGAATCATCTTTAGAATGCATCATAGTGTTTAAGTATTGGGGTTTTTGTCATGAAGAAGCTTCTGCCTTGTTGTAGTTGATAAGAAGTTTCATTGTAAAGAATCATGCTGGAGCACGTTTTCCTCCATGCTTTTGTAATTCAGATGGAATTGAGGTAGGAATTTTCTTTAGTGTGAACTTTCAGTTGGAACAGAAAAATTTCTTGGGGACGCATCATTTCTCTTTGTTAAGAAATGTGCTATACTTACATTTTGGATCTGTTTCCTAAAAGCTTAAATTTTGGGAGGGAAATGGTTATATAGCATGTTACCAGTGTAGTTGTCAAGAGTTTGAATCATTGGACTTCTTATAGACATTTTGTCAGTTTTCCTAATATTGTTTTAGTTTCCTGTTATCTTGTCATTGTGGTTTTGACTACATATATCCCAATAATTAGGTCATCTAGCTTACACACAAGGGAAGTATTGAAGAAATATGCTATATATATTTGTCTAAAAGTAACAGATATGCTAGATATACATTGTGCACCGTTTCCTAACAAGTTCTATGAAAATATGGATATCTAATACTCTTATTCAAAGTTACGTTTCCTTGTCTTAAACTATTTCATATGTCAGTCCTAGGGAAGTCATTTTTGGTTCAAGGTATTTCTGTCTAGAGTGATGATCCTATTACAGCTTTGCTATGTGTAATTATTGATAAAAAATTTTAACTTATAGTTGCTTGTTCTTGCAGTCATTGTTTTATTCAGCATTGCTCTGTGCACGTGAGATGCTTACCCCTGAGGATGCATCAGCTGACCTTATTCGAGCACTTAATAATCGACTAATTGCACTATCTTTTCATATCAGAGAATATTACTGGATTGATATGAGAAAGTTAAACGAGATCTACCGCTATACTACAGAGGAATATTCCTATGATGCAGTTAACAAGTTCAATATTTATCCAGATCAGATACCCCCATGGCTGGTGGGTTGGATGCCCAATAAGGGTGGTTACCTAATAGGAAACCTCCAGCCAGCTCACATGGATTTCCGTTTCTTCTCACTTGGGAACTTATGGTCTATTGTAAGCAGTCTTGCTACAGTGGATCAGTCCCACGCGATACTAGATCTTATTGAAGCAAAATGGGCAGACCTTGTGGCTGAAATGCCTTTTAAAATATGTTATCCAGCTCTTGAAGGCCAGGAATGGCGAATTGTCACAGGCAGTGATCCCAAGAATACGTAAGACTTATTCTTGATGTGGTGGTATTTCTGCAATCACTTTTTTAGTTTTTTACTCCACTCTAATTTTTCGTACTTAATTATGACCTGGGCAGTTCATGGTCCTATCACAATGGAGGTTCCTGGCCAACTTTGTTGTGGCAGGTTAGTGCTTTGTCTCTGAGTCTTGATGATTGTCTGGTAGAATTATTATGCCGAATCTTGATGTCCATGTTTGACTGGTGGATAGCATATGTTCCTTTTATCAACTCCTGATCTTTAATTGCTTCGCAGAACCCCCTCTATTATTCTTTCTACTTCATCCGCAAAACGGCTTCTTTAAGCAACATCTTGTTTTCATTCCACACAAAAATCTCAAGGAGATGACATATGATGTCTTTTCATTGATTCTCAAGTGCAAATGAATTGGGTTATAAGCATCGACTGTTATAAGTGCCCTATGAGCGGAAATCATTGGAGGGAAAGAGGACCACATATTTAACTAAATGTGTTAGGCAAAAAACTAAAAGTGCTTGTCGTCCCAAGCTTGCCTCCATTATGACTGTCTCCACTCTTTGGCATGAAGCATGTGCTCCTTTCATAAGCTAGAATTCATACAATTAAGCCCATTACCATTTTTGGTCTTCGATGTAGTGTCCACTCGTTATCGACTACTTGAAACATGTGTAACTCTTTTAAAAGCACCACAACATGACTGTTCTTTGAAATATTTGCTTGGCACTTCTGTATATTCTACAATTACAAAATTTGCTGCAAGAGAAAGCATGAAGTGTATGCCATGACCGATTGATTTTGAGCTTTCTACAGCTCACTGTGGCCTGCATAAAGATGAACAGACCAGAGATTGCTGAAAATGCTGTAAGGATTGCTGAGAGACGCATATCCAATGATGAGTGGCCTGAATATTATGACACCAAGCGTGCTAGATTCATTGGAAAACAGGCTCACCTCTTTCAAACATGGTCGATTGCGGGGTATCTTGTGTCGAAGCTTCTCCTTTCTAACCCATCTGCGGTGAGGATTCTGGTAAATGAAGAGGATGTTGACCTTGTGAATGCCTTTTCGTGTATGATCAGCTCGAATCCGAGACGAAAACGTGGTAGGACGGCGGTTGAAAAGAGGTTCATAGTGTGATCTTTCCAAGCTAGCCGGCCAATAGACGGTTTCATGCAGCTCTGTATTATTGCGCACTGAACGGAGGAATACCGATGATCCAGACATCACATATAGCTGCATCATTTTGGGCTGGTTGGTCGCTTGCAACGGAATTTTGCATTGTGCAGGTTTTTGAAATGGTTCAACTTCTAGCAGGATCAGCACACACAACTGCATCAATTTCGGCCGGGTGGTCACTTGAAAATGGAGTTTTGCGTTGTACAGGTTGTAAAATAGTTTCACCTTCTAGCAGGATCTGCAGATTCCTACACTGTAAGGAACGAAAAAAATGATGTCCGCTTACACGGCAGCATGTGCTTTTACACAGCTTTAGATCAGGATAAGATTCTTAATGGTGGTTTCTTGCTGCCACTTCCAATCGGGTAAATTGGTCAAGTACGATCATCTTGTTAGGATCTTCAAAATGTTCCCATAATCTCATACTGCCGTTGCCTGCGCTGGGTCTTCCATGTTTGTCTTTAAAGCTCTGTAGAACCTGTCAACTGGATTCTGGGTTTTGGTTTTAGGTCCATCATTCGACCCATTCTGCAGAAATATCATGTTTGAAGTGGACAACGAGTTAAATGACAAAACTCCTCTTGGATACTTTAGTCATCTTTTGTTCCAAGTAGAATTTATATGCATTTAAATAAGAAGCACAGAAGAAAAGAAGATGTTCAGGCATAAATGGAAGCTTATGTTCTCATCATTGTTCGTAAAATCATGTCCACGACGTGCCCGAAGACATTCATATGCCTCTTCATAAAGGGGAAAAAATATCGTGGGAGGGATGATCATCATGTCTTCGGCTCCGTTCGTTTCATGAAAAATAATTTTCGGGAAAACGTTTTTTGGGATTTTTAGCGTTCGTTTCACAAAAAATGAACTAATCATGCAAAACATTTTCCCTCAATGGACAAAACATCTTCAAAAGTGTAGAAGAAAACATTTTCCCCTCCTTTCACCATTCATTTTAATTATTTTATTGTTATTTTTTCTTAAATTCTATTTTTTATTATTTTTTTCTTTTTCTCTTTTTTTCTTTTTCTTTTTTCGTTTTCTTTCTCTTTTTTTTTTTTTTACCTTCTTCTTAGGCTGGTCGCGGCCATGGCAAAGGCCGGCGACTGGCCACAGGCGCCACTCAAGCATCGCCTGAGGGCGATGAGGCTCGGGCCTCGCCAAATCGGCGACGCTCGAGCGTCGCCTAAGGCGAGCGAGCTCGCTGCCGCTTGGCGAGTCTAGCAAGCTCGAGGCGGCGGTCAGCGTTGGTGAGGCCCGAGGCTCGCTTCCCTTAGGCGACAATCGAGCTCCCCTATGGCGGGGCCGTCAACCAATCGGAGAAGAAGATAAAAAAAATAAAATGAACTTTTACCCTGAACTTTTTTTTTACCCAGCCGGAGAAGAAGATAAAATACTACCAAAAATCCCAAACTGGTACACGTGTGACAATTTTACCCTGAATTTTTTTTTTTACCACCAAAAACCCCAAACTGGTACACATATGACAATTTTACCCCGAACATACCCCAAACTAGTACACTTGTGACAATTTTACCCTGAACATACCACAAAAAACCTCAAACTGGTACACATGTGACAATTTTACCCTGAACTAAAATTTTAATATTATTTTTTTATTTTTTCGAATTTTTATTAATTATTTTGTTTTTTCTTTTCTTTTTTTTTCTTCATCTTCAACCTTTGGCCGGTTGCCGGACCGACGACCGGCCAGAGGCGGAAGCCGGCGAGGTTGACCCCGCCGGCTGCTGGCGAGGGCCGCCCTTGCCGGAGTCGGGCGAGGGCGACCCTCGCCTTAGTCGGGCGAGGGCTGCCCTCGCCGGATCTGGCGAGGGCGACCCTTGCCTTCGTCGGGCGAGGGCTGCCTTCGCCGGCATCGGGCGAGGCCAGCCCTCGCCTGAGTCGGCGAGGACGACCTCGCCCGGGCGGCGAGGACGTTCTAGCTCGACCCCGGCGAGGCGGCCCTCGCCGGATCTGCGAGGTCGGCCCTCGCCCGCCCAGTGCAAGGCCGCCCGACCTCGCCCGGGCGGTGAGGACGACCCTCGCCCGACGCCGGCGAGGGCCGACCTCGCCCGGGCGGCGGGGACAGCACTTGCCGGACGCCGGCGAGGGCCGCCTCGCGCGATCCGGCAAGGGCGGCCCTCGCTGAGTCGGGCGAGGCGGCCCTCGCCCGCGCCGGCGAGGTCGAGCCTCGCCCGGCGGCAATGGGGCCGACCTCGCCGGGCTTCCGCCTCGGCCGATCGCCGGACCGGCTAGAGGTTGAAGATGAAGAAAAAAAAAAAGAAAGGGTTAATACCACGAAAAACCCTAAACTGGTACACTTGTGACAATTTTACCCCAAACTATTTTTTTGATCATAAAAAACCCCAAACTGGTACACTTGTGACAAATCTACCCTGAACTATTTTTTTGATCACCAAAAACCCTAAACTGATATACATGTGACAATTTTACCCGGAACTAATTTTTTAATATTATTTTTTATTTTTTGAATTTTTTAATTAATTTTTTATTTACTTTTTTTTTCCTTTCTCTTCAACCTCTGGCCGGTCGCCGGTCCGGCGACCGGCCAGAGGCAGAAGCCGGCGAGGTCGATCCCACCGGCCACTGGCGAGGCTCGACCTCGCCGGCGTTGGGTGAGGTCGAGCCTTGCCAGATCTGGCAGGGGCCCGGTCCCGCCGACCACTGGCGAGGCACGACCTCGCCTGCGTTGGGTGAGGTCGGCCTCGCCCTGCAACGGCGAGGTCGGCCTCGCCCAACGACGGCGGGGTCGAGCCTCGCCAGCCACCGACAGGACCGGGCCCTCTCCAGATCTGGCGAGATCAGCCTCGCCGGCATTGGGCGAGGTCAGCCTCGTCGGCGTTGGGCGAGGTCAGCCTCGCTGTTGTAGAGAGCGGGGCCGACCTCGCCCAACGCCGGCGAGGCTGACCTCGCCCAATGCCGACGAGGTCGGCCTCGCCCTGCAACGGCGAAGCCGACCTCGCCCAACGCCGGCGAGGTCGTGCCTCGCCAGCAGCCGGCGGGGCTGGGCCCTCGCCAGATCCGGCGAGGCTCGACCTCGCCGTTACAGGGCGAGGCCAACCTCCCCCAACGCCAGCGAGGCCGACCTCGCCGGCTTCCGCCTCTGGCCGGTCGCCGGACCGGACCGGCCAGAGGTTGAAGAGAAAGGAAAAAAAAAAGTAAAGAAAAAATTAATAAAAAATTAATAAAAAATTTCGAAAAATTAAAAATAATAGTAAAAAATTAGTTCGGGGTAAAATTGTCACGTGTATACCAGTTTGGGGTTTTTTGTTGTCAAAAAAATAGTTCGTGGTAGATTTGTCACAAGTGTACCAGTTTGAGATTTTTTATGGTCAAAAAAATAGTTTGGGGTAAATTGTCACAAATGTACCAGTTTAGGATTTTTCGTGGTATTAACCCAAAAAGAAAAGAAAAGAAAAGAAAAAGAAAAAATTTCGAAAAAATAATATTAAAAAATTATTAATTCGGGGTAAAATTGTCACAGGTGTACCAGTTTGAGGTTTTTCGTGGTCAAAAAAATGGTTTAGGGTAAATTTGTCACGGATTTACCAGTTTAGAGTAAAATTGTCACAGATGTACTAGTTTGGGGTTTTTGGTGGTAAAAAAGAAAGTTTAGGGTAAAATTGTCACAGGTGTACCAGTTTGGAATTTTTGGTAGTAAAAAAAAAAGTTCGGGGTAAAATTGTCACACATGTACTAGTTTAGGGTTTTTGGTGGTATTAACCCAAAAAAGAAAAAGAAAAGAAAAAAGTTAATTAAAAATAATGAAAAATTGATTTTAAAAAAATAAAAAAAAATCTATTAAAAGTAGTGTATGGAAATTTTGATTTTCCATACCAAATGGCGGAAAATATTTTCCAAGTCTTTTTTAGATTTCAGCCGAACACTAAAAAATAATTTCCTAAAAAATGTTTTCCAAAAACGTTATATTTTCCACGAGACGAACGGAGACTTCATGTAATGAGATTTTCAGGATTTGGTCCCCAAGAAGACTGTGTAATTTGCTGTGATTCCAACTAATTCCACTTGGGAAAGCTACATTTGCTTAAGTAGAAAACTTTCGTGATGCCCGTTCGAATTGAATTTCATTAATGAACTCAGAAGAAGCTTCCTACTAAAATCAGTTTTCTCATTATCGAACAAAAAAGAACAATTATGACGGAACACAATACACATTCAGATCCAACCAAGCTTTGTGAAGACAATAAGGGTGCGTTTAGTAATCATTATATTCCCGAAAACAATTTCTGTTCAGAAATGATTTTTTTATTCTGTTCCCAGAAACAATTTCGAAACATTTGAAGGCGTTTGGTAAGGGGCCAAAATTTCCATTCCTGAAATAGAAAAGAACAGAAATGCGTTTGGTAACGGCACAAATTTTCTTTTTATTAATAATATTTTTAAATATTTTAATATTTCTTTCTTTCTTTTTTATTTTTTTCTTCTTCTCCTTCTTGGTCATGGCCGGCGACCGGCCACAGGCCAAGGCGTCGCGGCCCTCGCTAGCGAGGGTGAGGGCTAGACCATCGCCCAGGCCGCCAGCGACGAGGGTTGCCCTCACCCTTGCCAGCCCTGACCTGTGGCCGATCGCCGGTGGCCAGCCAAGAAGAAAGAACATAAAGAAGAAATAGAAAAAAAAATTATCTTCTATTTCTGATTCTTGTTTCCAAAATCAAGAAGTAACTTTTTTTTTTATTCTTGATTCAACTTCAAAACTGATTATGGGAACAAATTTGTGTAAATTTGTGCCCGGAAACAAAACATTTACCAAACGGATTTCTGTTCTTTTTTGGTTCCACGGAATAAAAGAATAGAATAAGTCACTATTTGGTAAGTTACCAAACTCATCCTAAATTTTCGCTTTCATTTCAAAGTATTTAAAGCCCTGGTAAACAGAGAAACTAATGGAATCCCGATCGAATGCATAGCCCTTGGACAGCAGTGACCCAAAATCTTATTTTTAATTTTGACTTTTCTCAGCCAAAATGCTGTCCAACAGTGACTCGCAAGCATCCTCCAGCAGATCCAGCACCTGCAATGAGAACGATGAAAACATCTTAGTTTTGCTTCTGCCTCGCATACTGAGCAACCTAAGGACAAATGGATGGCTGTGATCGCGACTTGATGAATGACGCGACGCAGTGAGCCGACATCCTAAGGTCACAAAAAGATAGAAACAAATAGTGATGTCACAGACAAGAGAGCCAATACTGTCGGCAAGACAAGCACGTGAAGAAAGCCAGGGCAGTGACAAAAACGAACTGCTATTAATCAGAGAGGATAAAATTGTATAATTAGAAAGTATGCTTTTCTGAGAAAGTTGTCTTTATGAAAAGTATTCTCATGGCTAACTGTGGTAAAGCTCTTGTTCAGAGATACTGGAGTCAATGTCACTTCCAAACTGAAACTTAATTCCAAAAACCTAGAAACTCGATTACGACATTACTCCTCGAGAAGGCACTTCATATTTGCCTATTCCTCCATGTGCTATCATAGATTTTCTACTCAGAACTCCAATACAATCCCTATTACCGACCCTCCCCTCACCCAATCTCATGCCAGGCACCTCTAGATCATGGCAATTAAGCACCAAAAGGATACCAAACCCCTGCTGCCTCTAGGAGAAGTGTCTTGAACCTATCTATATGGGCTGGCTAAAGTAGTGCCAGTTAGTAAACTACAGAGAGTTAAGAGAAAACTCTGAAGTTAGGAATGAGTTTTCTATTTTATTTTAACTTGGGACGGCTGAACTTTGCAGGAATAGACTGCCCTAAATCTAGCTACTATCCCTCCTTTTTCTCCATCTTGAGAAATAAAATGCAGGAGAGCAAGTTAATCCATCTTACGCGTCTGGCCTAAGCTCAGGCAAAAAACTAGGTCAAGGTTGTGGAGAAAATTGCAGAATCAGAAAGCATTATGCCTTCTCCGTTATTTACCAATATGAAATGATTCTACCAATGAGCAATGCCCCACTAACTGATTTTCAGAAATAGTAAACTTTAACATTTAGCTACGTTTGTTTTGGGGAAAACGAACGGTTTGCAAAACACTTTCCTATAAATAATTGCTTGTATCGTTTAAAATAATTAGTCAATAGAAAATGTTTTCATAATCAACAACAAATTATGTCTAAATATTTTCGTGGACGATGAAAATATTTTTCGTTCATTTATTTTGGTAAGTGATATAAGGGATCGTTTTTAGAAAATGTTTTACAAATCATTCATTTTCCACAAAACAAACGGAGCCTTAGTTAAGCTAACATTTCCAGCGTAACTTGAATAAAACAAATACTTAAATACATACTAAGGCCAAGTAATTTGAAGATTCGAACTTCTGCTATATAAGTCAAATGGCTTCAAACTTGGATAGATGTCGTCAGCCAACTACATATCCCAAATAAGCTAGTGCCAAGACGCACGCAAGCCCATTTCTCACAATAATATGAAGCTTGAGATATCGAGGAAGTTCAGTGTGATTGTTTGTGTATCACAAAACAGATTAGAGAGGTACCCACTAGATCGTTCTTTTCATGCTCCACCACTACAAGTTTTTATAAGATTGATCAGATATTATACCCCATGAGATAAATGTTACTGATCAGAGATTACACTCCAAGAGAGAGATACTATTACCTTCTCAAAACCCTGGGGTCCGCCATAGTAAGGATCCGGTACTTCGGTTTCGTCGTGCTTCTTGCAATATGAACACATCAACTTAACCTGAAAAACCATCGCCGAAGTTGAGAAAACACCCACATCAGGGCACGTTCATCCCCTCATAAACCCCGTTGTTACCTTCTTGTGGGCGTCTTCGGGTAAGGGCTCCCTAAATTTCCACCTATTGAAGGCTTCCAATATATCCTCTGACAAACATGAACACCAACAGTATGCTTGAGACCATACACAGGACATCGAAATAAACATATAGATACTGTTCCAGACCGAGCAATCAGAATTTCACAAAACCTCAACGATTAAACCAAGTTGAAGTACCTGTGGAAAAACTAAGTACCTCTGTTTTGCTTATCCATCGCGAGGATAAGATCGAAATCCCTAAAATCAGATGGCCTTATCGGCCTCGACAGAGACGTGATCTCGACCCCGCGCCTCTTAGCTGCTGCTCTCATTCTCGGATCAGCTAGATTGCCCTACACGGGCAACACGAAGATCGACATGCCATCAAGCAGCCCAGCACAGCACACAGCACAACATATAATACCGCAACATCCTGTTCGGACGAATGCAGGCGATCCTACTCGACATCACGGCCTACCCAACCTCTACGTCCGATGGTTACACAAAAACTTCTTCAATCTTCAGTCGACCTACCTCGTGGTAATCGGTGGTGCCGGCAGAATCGATGTTGAAGGCGGAGTCGAACCCTCTCTTCTTCACCAAGTCTCGGAAGACGCCCTCCGCGGCGGGGCTCCGGCAGATGTTACCGAGGCACACGAAGAGCACGGCGGAGGGCTTCGCCTCCGCGGCCTCCGCCGCGGACGGCGGCGCCGACGACGGAGGAGGAGGAGGAGGAGACGACATCGAAGAGCGAACCGAAGGATCGGAACTCCGGTCGAGCCCCGGAGCGCGGGGAGGCGGAGGATCCGAGCTCCGGAGAGGAGCGAATCGGCGGCGCGCGGGCGAAGGAGGGAGGGAGAGGAGGCGAGGGGAAGGGCAAAATGGTAAATAAAGGGGCGTTGTTGCCGCTCGGACACTCTGCTGCGAGCGCAACGGCCTCATCTCCTTTCTCTCTCCTCCCGTAACCGTCGACGAATTTTTTGATACAGGAAGAGAGGCTTGTGGGAAGCACATGGATTTCTAATTTTCATTTTCGTTTTTGTTCTTGTGTTATTCTAATTTTATTCAGCCTAATTTCCTTAAAAAAAAAAAACGGGACAAGTGCACTAGAAGTCTTAAAACTTGTCGCGAAAGTGCAATTGAACCCCAAGACTTTCGAAAATGTGCAATTAAGTTATAAAACTTGTCGTTGAGGTGCAATTAAGTCTTATAATTTGTCACGAAAGTGTAATCGAATCATACATCTTTCAAAAAACGTAATCAGCAGAAAGAGTTGATTGGATTAATTCGACAAGTTTCAGGACTTGATTGCACTTTTTGAAAGTTTCAGGACTCAATTGTACTTTCGTGTTTATTTTAGAATGCACTTATCGTAAAAAACGATAATTCAGCTCGGTCCACCCAAGCTCTTTATTTATCTTATAAAAAAACGCCGACTTTAACTCAACTCCCAATCCCGGTGCAATTTTATTTTTTTTTCCTATAGAAAGCATCCACTGTCAATCGGTACTCGAATTTGAAACTTAAAAGAAGAGACTTTGAAATGGTAGAAGTAATGATCCTGGGTTCTCTCGCAAAGTTTATATTATTTCTAAGCACTTGACTGAAACCCCCTTTTTCCTTGTATCTTAGGTTGTACTGTCAGTCCTAGTTACAGTACTTATAGATGACAAAAATTCCCCAGATCTCCTACATGATATATACAATAGATCCTACATATATGTAAGTTACAGAAAATCAATCTTAAAAACTGGGAAGAACATGAAAAAAAATCTTCTTTCCCCCGCGCAAGAACCGTTTCGAAACAAAGGCTAAAACACTTCGAATTCCATTTGCTCCTCTATGTTCTGAAAATCCTTACATTTCGCCGTGTCTGCCTGAGTAGAATTCGCGCTGACGCCGGTGTCGAAGTACCTCGGCAGCTCAGGTGGAACCGCACAGCGAATCAGCGCCCAGTTAAGGCCCTCGAAGAACGGGTGATGCTTGATCTCTGCAGCCCCCTTCGAAGATCCCAGTCGGTTTTCTGGATCCTTTATCAGGAGCCCCCTGATCAAGTCTCGCGCGTGATAACTCACAACCGGGCTACTCGGAAACTTGAGGCTTCTAGAGACGACATTGGTCAATGTTTCCTCATTTCCAGGACCTTTGAAGGGTGTCTTGCCGTATAACAGTTCGAACAGAAATATCCCGTATGTCCACCAATCGACAGCACTTCCATGACCCTCACCTTTGATAATTTCAGGAGCGAGGTACTCGTGGGTCCCGACAAAGGAGTTGGATCTGGCACTGGTCGGCTCCACCACAAGCTGCGGCAGGGGGCTGACCTGAGCCGCCAGATCAGACTTCATTTTCCGACCTTTTGTGGCGATTGATAAGAGTCTAGGAGTGAAGCATGGCACTTGAAAGGATGGGTGGAGGCAGAAAGGGTCAATGCAGCTAGATTCCGTACATGGACTAGATGTCTTTCTCGTGGGCTCTGCGTCGGGTGACGATGATGTCACCACTGTTGGGTTTACGGCACATCGGAGTGATAAGTCAAAGTCTGAGAGCATGATGTGACCATCTTCTCTGACCAGTATGTTTTCTGGTTTTAGGTCTCTGTACACTACTCCAAGCATGTGCAGGTACTCCAGTGCAAGGAGAATTTCAGCAACATAAAACCTGCATTCCTGTTATGTTAGATGCATATCATGAAAATGCTCTCAAGCTCCCCTCCATGAAGAGGAACAGAAGGCAAAAGAAAAAATAAAGCAGAGACCCAAAACAATTTCAGATGAATCAAGATCTTTGGGCATATAAAGCAACTTGCTAAGACCACCTCCTTTTTTCCACAATATTCTATCCAACATACCTTGTTTACTTATTAAGACCATGTTATTGCTATTTCGAGTTCACTTTCATGGCTTCTCATTTCTCATAGACTGCCTTGCTGATGTACTTTATGATATGCTGTGGCATCTCAATTCAGTGTTCCAACATTGCCAAAAGAACCAAGGTGGTGAAAATCGATTAGCGGTCAAAGACTACAAAGTGCTCTCTTAGCATAGCCTACCAAGTCAGTTCCAAACCATTAAGAGACCGCCCAGCTGTGAAGTGTCCTCGTTAAAATCACAGTGAAATGTTTACCCATCATAATCAAGAAGGAACTACTTGGGTTTCCCATACGCTGATTGACAAAGATACTTAATGAAATTCCAGAGCACAGCAGAGCCTCTCAGTCAAATCATGCATAGTTTTTCCAAAACTTTCATCCGTTCCTCCAATTTCACTAATATCTATTCGTCATATGACCAATAATAATTCAGTTTCTTATCTGAGCTTGAAAGATTTAATAATTTCTTTGAAAAGCTGAAACAACTCCAGCAATACCACTATAGCAGAGAGTTCCAAATGTGGCTTCCAAGGCACCATCTGCAACTAGATGGACGTGGAACCATGATTCATCCGACATTCCAAACAAAAAGAGGCCATCCCACATACGACATGAACAATGTCAATACATTATATTACCTAGAGCCAGCTGAAATTCACGCTTCACATCAACAAATCAGCCACCAAAGGCATCAATAGCTCAATCAAGATCCATCCTCCAGAAAGTAGACAAGGAAGTAAAACTAATGTATAGGCGCAATCCTTTTGAAATAATGATTAGTTACCTAAGACATTCGAGTCCTATGCTAAAAGAAGTAAATCCCCCCATTAAAAAGCAAACAACTGCACACCCAAAGAGTGAAAGATTATATGCAGAATAGGGTTGGGCTCATGCTTTTAGTCGTTCTTGGACTTTGAACAGACTCAGTAAATTTGTCAGATAAAAGGTGTCTTTCAATTGGTACAGCTACAAGTAGGCAACGTCAAAAGCATCCATTAAATGACAGAATATCGATTCAATGGGAACATAAACTGATATATTTTCCAAAGTAAAATAAAAAATCAGAGTAAGATTAACATCTGTATTCCTCGTATTGATTCACCGGAAGTAATGAAAAATGCTGGCACGTTAATAAAGGTGCATGCGTACTAGTTCTTAATGGCTCAGCTATAGCTGTTGCTTGAACTCTGATGCTATATAATGCAATTGGTAGTTGGACAAAAAGAACAAAGCTGTTCCCCAGCCAGGGACGAGAACCAGAAGCATTGAATAACGATCAAACTAGAAAAAAGGCCAAATTGAAGCAGATTGATTTTGAAAAGACTGATGCTATGAATCAAGCCACAAAAGCTCATGAAATAACAAAATTTACACCAACCTCGCTGCTTGTTCAGAGAAACTCCTTGTCGGTTGTTTCTGCCGCAGAACATGCAAATCGCCACCTGGACAATACTCCATGACTAAACACGAGTGTTTGTCCGTCGAGAAGTGGGAATACAGTGTCGGCAGAAATGGATGATCCAGCATTTGCATTATCTCTTTCTCAGTCTGGGCCCTAGCCATTTTCTTCCTCTTTATCAAGAACTCGAGGTCCATCACTTTCAGTGCAAAGAGGCAGTTAGTACCTGTTAATTCAGCGAGATAAACAATTCCGATATCCCCACAGCCTAGCTTCTTAAGCAGTTTGAAGTGTTTCAAGTTTATGCTTCCACTCTGGATCTGAACAGACCGGATCGCTTCCCACCTTGAGTCTTTTGACATATGAGGCCTGCTCCCACACCGATTGGACCCACTAAGATTACTTGTTTCACTAATGCTAGTGCTACACCTGTAGTCCCCAATGCTACTTTTTGAGCTTTGAGAGAATTCACCTTTTTCTCTTGATCTGAAAACTTCATCAGCTTTATTATCCAGGGATTTAATTCTGCTACTGCAGGTCAATGTAGACTCTATGTTGCTCGAACCAGTATCAGCAGAACTTGCATTCACTTCAATCCTCTTATCTGTAGTACCTGAATCAGGAGAAGCCTTTTCAACTTCTTTCCCCTCACTGTCGAGAATACAATTCTTTTCCATAATATCCATGCGAGGACCTGAAACACCACCTAATTTCTGAATACAGGGACTAGAACTGCAGGAAGCAGAAATTGATTCGTGTTTTACTTTCTTCTTCATGAAGTTTTTGTTCCCAAAGACTGGCATAACAAAACATGGATTGTTGGAACTGGATTTATTTCCCCTCTTACCAGCGGAAGGGGCCAAAGGGCTAGATAAATTAGACGTAGCATCTAAATTTCCCTTTTGTCCATTGCTCTGGGCTGGTTTTGCTGGTGGAAGTTTAAACTGGGTGGCATCTTGCAGATCATTAAATGCAAGTTTTTCGCCACTATCAAGAAGAGATGAAGGCTCCACAGATTTGACCTTTCCAACTTCTGTATTCACCTCTGCACCAGCAGATTTTGTTTCCAAGGGACGAATCTTATCTACCAAGGAAGATCTTCGGATTGTCAACTGCGGTGCTTTTGCTTTGATAGATGAAGAAGGATGAGCCTCATGATGAGTTAAGTCTGTGGATGGTATCTGAAGGGACTCAGACACTCCCTTAGAAGTATTTGAACTGATACCTTCAGATACAAGGGAAATTTCTAACACCTTCCCTTCACCTTCGTTTAAAGGAAGGCCGGATCCATTGGCCTCAACCACCACTGCCCTATACAACCTTTTAATAGTTCCAGCTTCTGACAAGGTTGGAGAATTAACTGGCTTCGACAGTCGCTTCATAGCTGCCATTTCTGAAGCTTGAGAGATGCATAATCCCCTCAGAGCCTGCTTCAAACTCAATGGCTCTGATATCCCAATACTTGATGCTGGTGATGCACCGCCTCGCATGGGTCTCTTTGAAGCATTTTTCCGTAGAGACTCTCTGCCAGCTTCATTCAATAAACCCGAACTCCTAGATGAATTTCGGACATTAAGCGACTCAAAGAGGCGATTGATATCATCCTCGAGTGAAGATTTGTTCGACAACTTTTGCAGGCAACTATTTCCACCTTTCTCGTCCTGTTTACACATGGAACTGAATTCTTCTGCTGATTCAACAATTTCGCAAGTACTGGAAACTGCGGCCATCCCCAATGAACTCTTGAACTAAAAAGGAAGATTCGGCCTTTAAATGTACACCGATGGCTAACCCAATTCTGAAGAATCACTTTGGAGATAGGTAAGTGCAGCAACAAGGAAAAGAAAAACTTTAGAATCCTCTCCAATCATAACGATTCCCTCATTTATATGGCCCAATAGAATTGCCCTTAGAATTTTAGCATGACACATCAGATCCTGCATTCAACACGAATTTCATAGATGTAAGGTCTAGTGAGCATTAAGAAACGGACAAAATGATGACGGTGCCATTTTATGTCACTTCTTCACATTTCGTTTTCCATCTAGGGAAAATTAAAAACCACACATGCGTGAGAGGTGATAATTGCCACTAACCTATAGAAATGCCAATTACCGATTATCACAGAAAACATATTCTTTAGTATTCAATCACATCGAACATTCTTTCGATCGCCCGGCTTCTCTCAGCCGACAGCTTTAATCAAGCGACCAATTTCACTACTAGGAAAACAGTATGAACGTAATACCACATATGCAGAAGAGAACATCAAAGGTCGTTAGTTCAATTTACGTCTCCCCGAACAATAGCTAAAGGTTATAAATGTCGAGTCGACAGTATGGTCCCATCTTCAGAAGCTATCAAGCACGTAAAGTTGCATCCAAATTGGACACATTAGCAGGCACGCCGAGATGTCCAAACCATTAAGAAGGGGTCAATCAACGAAATGATAATGGAACCAGTCCACAGTTTTCGGATCAACAATGATTCCCAGAGAAGAAGGGAACAACAAAGGAAAAAACAAACTGGGCTATAATTTCAACCAAGTTAAAACGCGATGGAACCGGCCAACACGATGTTTTTTGTCCCCTTTCCTTCAAGATTTTCAGTAAGTCAACATCGGCTCCATTATTTAAAGCGAGGGAAACTGCTGGTGTCCTAACTACACAACGCGGACTCACGAATCAATCAACCTCCCCACTCAAAAAACGTCACGAAGATTCCGCCGATCTGCTCACCAAACCAACAAAAGCAAAAGAAAAGAAAAGCAATCCTCACCCACCCACGAACCCTTCAAGCTAAAGACGAGACAAGACACCGCACCCCCGAGTCACTCCCCCATCGATTAAGAATCAGAACCAAACCAGCAGAGAGAAACAAAGAAAAACCAGCGCGAACGAACATGGACGGGGACGTGCCAACGGAACAAAACAAGAAAGCACCCACAGAGCTCGATTCCAACCCAAGAAACCAAAACCCAGAAACCAAAACCCAAGAAAACAAAAAGGGCAGGCTAAGCTCACCTCAAGAAACGTCAGGACGACCCCGGCCGAGCGAGCTAGCGAGCGAGAGACAGAGAGAAAGAGAGAGAGAGAGGCTGGAAATATTCAAATGAAAGAAGTGAAATTAGGTGGGGGAGTATGATGAGGAGCTAGGTGAAGGGGGAGGGAGGGAGGGAGGAGGGGAGGGGACACGGGAGAGAGAAGGGGGAAAGTGAATGAAGAAAGAGAAAGCAAAAAGGTGAGGGGGAGAGAGAGAGAGAGATTGAAATCACGAGAAGTATCGCCTCGTAGTTGTAGCGCTCGCTCGCCCGCAAACACTCTCCCTCTCTCTCTCTCCGTTTGGCTACGGCAATACAATGATGGAGGAGGAGGAGGAGGAGGAGGAGGAGCGAGAGATGGCCTGTTTCCGTAGCCGTCGTCCCCTGCGCGCAACTGTGCGTTTCGCTCTGAAATGGCGGAAAAACAGAGACGACGAGGGAAGACGGAATGGCATACAGATGCTCTCCCCCCCTCGTTTTCTTTCTCTTTTGGTCTCCGGTCTTCCCATTTTCCTGCTGCGCTCGTCATCTTCGTTTTTTTTTTTGTCCTTTTGCGATTTCTCGAGAATTTATTTGGTTTCAGAAAAGATAAAAAAAAAAACCTGTTACGGAGTTCGCCTAGTTTTAGTAACAATTAATGTTTTGATTAATACCACGAAAAATCTTACCTTCAAAACAGTACATTTGTGATAAATTTATCAACCGTTAGTTCTCATTAAATTAGATTAGTATCACAAAAAATCACAAACTAGTATACATAAGACAAACTAATACACCCCATCAACTGGCACGTGTCATTCAACTAAGTAACTCGACAGTGAAATTTAACGAAAACTAACAGAGGGTAAATTTATCATGAGTATATCACTTTGGAGTTTTTGGTGGTAAAAAAATTAGTTTGGGGTAAATTTATCAATTATGTACCAGTTTGAGGTTTTTCGTCATATTAACTCTAATGTTTTTTACCTTTTTAATGTATTGATTACACGAAATTAAAATTGATACATTAGAAAATGCAGAATATTATTATAAATTTCCATAATTTTCCATGGTTTAGCAACAAAAATAAATTATGCATTAACCGGACGTACTTTTCTCGTAGATTAGCAAATTAGTAAACTTTTTTATATCTTTGTTGCATCTCGGTTTATATGAAAAATTGGACATACGACTTGAGCCCCAAGAGCATTTATGTATTGAATCGTCTCATAAAATTTTCAAGTTTGCTATACTAAAAAGTTTCTAACATCTATCAATAAAAACTTTTACTCATCTCCAACTTTAATAATCTCTCCTCACAACTGTCTAATCACTCATTACATGTCGTGTTACAAAATCCACATGCTGTTGTAAGTATATCTCTAACTCATTTAATGAAGTTTGCTGAATTCCTCAATCGCCTTCATATTCATGGAAAAACATACCTTATCTAGTTTATTCCAATAAATTCTTATTAGCGTTCAAGGATTGGATTAGTGGTTAAGGAGTGGACGCGTATATGTCCATCATATATTTTTAAGACTTTGAAGAACCGGGTGTGTTTATTTTACTCGCACGGCTAAAGTTCGATTCTTCCGATCCACAAAATGCAAACAATCGTGTGTTTTCAGTTCTTGACTTGTGCTTTTACATGATCTGCAATGTTAGTAAAGTATTACGTAACATGGAATTTCTCATCATAGAAAACTATGAATTTTGTATGCCACTATTAGGAGTGTAGCGCAACTACACGAAGGGTGGATCATGTGGGACAACACCAACAACGTGTTCGATCAATTAGTATTTCGGACATAAGATCTCAAATCCATCAACTCGATATGGGGGAGTGCGCTCTTAAGATCACCTAAGAAGGTGAATCAATCGGGATGATTTAAAGGCTCTAAGCAAAACCCCGTGTTGAAAAAACATAATTTCGTTTTTGACCCGACGAACCACTTACGTATCATAATTCTTACAAATAATAACAATCACATACCTCTAAGCAAAACTCCACGTTGAAAAGAACAAATCGTCCCCCCCTTGCAAACTCGATTTAGCATCTTCAGGGGTCCCGCACGATTTAAAGGCTCGTCGGAGTGGGCTAACGTAAATAGGAAGTACCCTACAAAAGAGGGGTCGAGCTAAATTTAATTTTTTTAGTTTGTTTCGAGTCCTTTTTAGATGTGTGTGGGAATTTTTAAGATATGGGAATGGATGTTTTTCTTAAAAGAAACGAAACGGCGTTTTCACGAATAGAGACACGGATGTAAATGTGCAAAGCGATCTCCAAAGATAAAGCTCGAATACGTATCGATATTAACAGAGACATAGAAGTTGTCATAAGATGAAACGCGAGATATTTTTTTTTTACATTTTTTTTTTGTAATGCAATGTTTTAATCAATCGTACGACTTCTGAAGAGAGGACGAATTTACGTCGTGTGCCCCTATCGGGCGACAAATGTCTCTACCTACTTAAACTGCTCAAATTGCGTGGCCCGAATTTCATTGCATACATTAACAAAGTTTTATAATTGACTGATATTGCTCATCATCATTTGGTTATTGCATTAATTTTTCTCGTTGCTGGTCATATGTATAGAATTAACTAAACTAGACTTCATCTAAAGTCGCCGGTTCTATTCCGCTTTTGTTTATTTTCTTTTGCTAGATAATCACCTAAACATCAAAGTTCCAACGAACGGATGGAAAGGGACTAGAGAGGAAAAAAATTATAGAAAGCCACCGGCTCAACAGTGCCACGAACTGCTCATTTTAGTCTGTTCTTCAAATTTGGAGAAGTCTTTTCGTGACTTGAAATGTTGATTGGTGATATCGATACTATAAAGTCCCCCAACAAGTGGTCATACCCAAATCCATGGGTTCAATGATGGATGCTCACACTTGCTAGTTAGAAATGCTTGAATTCAGCTTGCACATATTTGAGATTAAATTACCACTCTCAGACTTTATTCGAGACTAAATTAGGTACTTCAGCCCTTATTTTGAGACTAAGATGACCATTTCATATGGGACAATATCCACTCTAAGCTCTCTTTCGAGAAAAAAATAAATAAAAATAAGACCCTACTTCCAATCCTTATTTGAAATTCTCTCAAAAGTGTAGGCCCATACACAAATTATCATCGAAGCACCCCTTTTAAGGCTTGAATCTCGTTTAATTGAAGTCATCATTCGTTACTTATGGTGTCTTTCAGGGGATAATTTTGTTTTTGATATTCAAAATTATCCAATTGTATAAAGTCCCTTGTCTCTCATAAATTGTGCGATCGAGTCCTTTCTTCTCATAGTACACATCGTCACACTCTGATGCGACTACTGACATATCTATTCTCGATATCAAAGGCCTAAACTATTGGTTGTACAAATTGATAAGTCAAATAATTCGATTACACATGTTAAAGTATCGTAGCTCGTGGAGAATTCTTTCGACGGACCTATTTTCGGTTGCGGTAGCAAAATTCCTCCTCCGGGACCTTCCCTCTACATGTCGAGTGATTTCGATGTGTTTTTTTTTTATCCTTTTGCCACGGCTTACCCACTAATTTGTTGCACTGTACCTTTTTCCTGTTACCTAAAGTTGCACGAGCCCGGCAATACAAAACTCGGCATCACGATCAAGGGTCAATCCGATTCTCAAATCTTGATCTGTCCCTTCGATGGGAAATAATAATAGACAAAAAAAGAACGTATAGTTTTTTAGCAAATTGGACAGAAAGTTAACCCAACAATATCGAGCCCTTCCTTTTTTACCGGCACTTTTTACTCAAGATCTACGACATGTATCAATTGTTTTTATGTATAAAATAAGGTTGAATGGGTGGAGGCAAGATCCAGCTCTTGAATCTCACCTTTTCTACTTTGCCAGAGAAAAGGCGCGTGCAGAAAATAGCACAGTGCGACTGCCCCCCAGGGCGTGTCGCCCACCTTTGTTGCGCCCCGACAAAATGGAATGAAGTCGAAAGTCATGAACTCATGATGCCTCGCAGCCATTAAAATAACATTTTTCTCCTCCCATGATGACAAACAAACCCTACGAGGGCTAGCAGGATTAGAACTTGACCGACGTTAAAAAAGTGCCCATTCGTTGCTTTGCTTGCGAAAATAAGGCCACGAAAGATTTCGAATTAGTACGCTCATAATAAATTTACTCTAAATTAATTTTTTAATTATCAAAAACTCAAAATTAGTATGCTTATGGTAAATTTACCTTTAGTTAAATTAGATTAATATCACGAAAAATTGTAAACTCGGTAAATTTGTGACAAATGGAGGGGTGAAACTGTAAATCGGTACACTCGTCGATTGCCACGTGTCATTCAACTCAGCAATTCGACGGTAAATTTTTAATGGAAACTAACGAAGGGTAAATTTGTCACAGGTGTACTAATTTGAGGTTTTTGGTAGTTAAAAAATTGCTTTTGAGTAAATTTATCACGAATATACCCATTTGAGATTTTTTATGGTATTAACCCTTTTTTTATAAATATACATGCGGATCGAGATTCTTAATATGATATTAGAGTCGAGTTTCGTCCCAAAAGAGGGTGTCGAAAGTATCTCAGATTGCTATTTTAGCGGTCTATATGCTCTCTACGCTCTTCATACAGTCCCCTTTCCCGGATTACTTGAAGTTTTTCGAAATCCAAAATTCCGACCCCCGGCTTTTTCGGGAAAAACGGGTTCGGCGAATCGTTTGCGCATTTTCGTCACGTCGGTCCTTGCTTCCGAATATGAACCTTTACTACGCACCTAGCCGAGAGAAAAGGGGCAAAAGAAAGGGATCACATGTCCATGGAAATTGGCCTTAATGCACAGTACAAATAGAGGGCCACGCCACGCCACGCCACTGCACACCACTCGAAATGGA